AATCAGAGCAGAAATAAAGAAAATAGAGATTGGGCTGGGCTCGGTGGCTCAGCCTGTGATCCCGCGCTTTGGGAGGCTGAGGTGAGTGGATTGCCTGAGCCCGCGGGTTCGAGACCTCCTGGGCAACTTGACGAGACCTCATCTCTACAATAAATCAAAAAATCAGCCGGGCGTGGTAGCACATGACTGTAATTCCAGCTACTCGGAGGACTGAGGCGGAAGGATCGCCGGAGCCCAGCAGGTCAAGACTGTGGTGGCCAGAGCGATGACTGCACTCCAGTCTGGGCGACAGAGTGAGACTCCAACTCAAAAAAAAAAATAGAAATTGGAAAAACAATACAGCAGATCAATTAAATGAAGAGTTGGTTTTTTGGAAAGATTGACAAACTTTTAGCTAGACTAAGAAGAAAGAGAATAAATAGATATCAAATAAATAAAATCAACGATGAAAAAGGAGAAATTACAACGACACCACAGAAATAGAAAGGATCCTAAGAGATTATTATAAACAATTATATGCCAACAAATTTAATGACCTAGAAGAAGTGAGTAAATTCCTGGCCATATACAACCTACCAAGATTGAATCATGAAAAAAATAAAAAAGCTGAACAGACAATAACAAGTGAGAAATTGAATCAGTAATAAAAAGTCTCCCATCAAAGAAAAGTCCAGAACCTGATGGCTTCACGTTTGAATTTTACAAAACGTTTAAGAAGAACTAATTCTAATTCTTTTTAAACTACTTCAAAAAATTGAAGAGGAGGGAATACTTCCAAACTCATTTTGTGAAGCCAGCATTACTTTGATATACCAGAACCTTATCTCTTAACACAGAAAATAAAAACAATTCAAAATGAATTAGAGACCTAAATGTAACACCTGAAACTATGAAGCTAATAAAAAAAATATAGGGGAAAACTTCATAACATTGGTCTAGGCAATTTTATTTTGGATAAGATCTCAAACAAGTGGGCAACAAAAACAAAATTAGACAAATGGGATTAGATCTAACTAAAAAGCTTCTGTACAGCAAAAGAAACAATCAACAGAGTGAAGAGACAACTTGCAGAATGGGAAAAAGTATTTGCAAACTATACATCTGATGAGGGGTTAGTATTCCAAAATATATGAGGAATTCAACAGCAAAAACGAAAATAACCTGATTAAAAAACGGGTAGAAGACTTGAGTAGATATTTCTCAAAACAAACAAACAAACAAAAACAACATACAAATGGCCAACAGGTATATGAAAAAAATGCTCAATATCACTAATCATCAGGGAAATGCAAATCAAAACCATAATGATATATCACCTCAATCCAACTGAATTGCCTATTATAAAAAAGTCAGAGGATGAAATGAGGGTGGAGGTGAAGAAAAGGGAACCCTTGCACATTGTTGCTAGGAATGTAAATTTGTATAGCCATTATGGAAAACCATTTGGAGGGTCCTCAAAAAACTAAAAATAGAACTACTGTATGACTCAGCAATGTCGCAACTGGCTATAGACCCAAAGGAAAAGGTATCAGTATGTTGAAGAGATACCTGCATACTCATGTTTATTGCAGTACTATTTACAATAGCCAACACAGAGAATCAACCTAAGTGCCATTTAATGGATGAATGGGTAAATGAAATGACACACACACACACACACACACACACACACACACACACACACACACACACACACACACACACACTATTCAGCCATCAAAAATGAAATCCTGCTATTTGCTACAGCAAGGATGAACCTGGAAGGTCTTTTGTTAAGTGAAGTAAGCCAGTCACAGAAAGACAAATACCAAATGATTTCCCTTATGTGTGGAATTTTAAAATATTGATCATATAGAGGTAGAGAGTAGAGAACTTGCCAGAGGCTCGGAAACATAGGGAGTAAGGGAGATGAGTAGAGGTTGGACAATGGATACAGTGTTATAATTTGATAGGAGAAATAAGTTCCAGGATTCTAATACACAACAGGATGACTATATTTAACAATAATGTATATTTTTAAAAAGCTAGAAGAGAGGAATTTGAATATTCTTACCACAAAGAACTGATAAATATTTGAGGTGATGGATGTACTACTTATCCTGATTTGATTGATATACAAAGAATACATGTATCAAAACTTCACACTGTACCCCATAAATATGTACAATTATTATGAATCATTTAGAAATAAAAAAGGATATGGGCCGGGCTCAGTAGCTCAGCCTGTAATCCCAGCACTTTGGGAGGCCAAGGCGAGTGGATTGCTTGAGCTCACGGGTTTGAGACCAGCCCGGGCAACTTGGCGAGACCTCATCTCTACAATAAATCAAAATTTAACTGGGCATGGTAGTGCGCACCTGTATTTCTGGCTACTTGGAAGGTTGAGGTGGAAGGATCCCTGGAGCCCAGCAGTTCGATGCTGGGGTGATCGTGAGCCTGCCACTACACTTCAGCCTGGGCGACGGAGTGAGACTCTGACTCAAAAAAAACAGAAAAAAAAAGTATATGATGATAAGCAATGGAAGCATCAATTAGATAAAAATCTATCAGTTCATAATGATGTTAAATAATAAAATAAATAAAGGGAAAGACTCAACTATTTAGTAGTGTGTGTCATCTATGTTTCAGGAAAACCAAATGGTTGATGAGGAAAAAAATCTTTCCTTATAATAGACAAATTCTAGGTTATGAGTGCAGAGAAGTGAGAGAGTGAGAAAAGCACCAGTTTTTAATCCCTGATGAAATAGTAGACTTGGCAACAATTTATAGCAGACGCTTTAAATCCACGAGGAAAAAGTTTGATGGGCCATGCTGAAAATTGAACACGAGCACTTAACTCTGGAAAGCCCACTAAAGTGACGATGAGATCGTGTGGTAGTAGTGGGAAAGGCATAAAACAGTCCACGTTCTCTGTCCAGCAAGAACTCCAGAGGCAGTAGGCACCTTTGGGTGTGAGTGAGATGATAGCAACAGAAGGAGACTCTGCTGAAAGTCATGGTATGAATTGATCATATCCACAGATCTGCTCCCAAAGCAGGTAACTGTTCGTTTTCCACCCCAGCAGAAGGTTAGTATTTGATTCCCTGCAGGGAGTCATCAGGCACAGCTGGAGAGGCATGCCCCATGCCACTCAAGGGTAGTAAGTGAATATTGAGGTACTCCCCCAACCTGACCTTAAGACTGTTGACAGCTGGCTGTACCCCCATATAGGAAAGTGACTAGACCTGAAGCACAAACATGAGAGTTTGCTAAAGAAATGGTACAATCAGACCACCCTGTGGTGAAGCCCACAGCTGCTGTGCCTCTCCCATGCTACACAGTGTGCACATTATTTTCTCTCCAGAAATGCCATTCAGAGCTTAGCCAGGTAATACACTGGGAAGGACTGACCCTTCTTGGATAACTTTGTGAGGGGCACAAGGAGTCACATGCAGATCATTTTCCTTCTTCATTTTAGCAGCATTTACTGAGAGTGCCTATGAGGGTGGTAGAATTTAGCTTCATAAGATGCCTAAACCATAAGTTCTCTGCCTAACATTAGGCAAATTAGATAATTTGCATTATATCAGCTGAAGCTCTTTGGGAGATTTTTAAAAATCTATAGATGGTTTGATTATTTAAAGGTATTTTTTTTCATGTTGCAGACTAACATTATCGTGTTGTATTAAAAAGTAATTCTGTCATTTTTTCGCCCCCTTGTTTCCTAAAGAATGATGCTTAGACACACAATTCCTGTGGCAGCAGTTAATATACATGCCTGGCCTTGATGTTTATTATTTACGGAAGCTCCTGGCCTCACCTTGCAGCCAATTACCTGTTCTCTGTCCACTTTCTGACATTTCCTTCAGTGCCCCTAGAGGATAATAACAATAATTCTCATCATTTCAATTTAGTCAGTGCTTATGTCTGCCAGTCACTGTTTTTTTAAATGCACGATCTCATTTATCTTTAGCAATTCTGTATAGAGGCATTACTCTTACTGCAGGAAAACAAGACTCAGAGGGACTGAGGACTTCCCCTTAGGTGGGAGAATGGCAGACAGAGAAAGACCCAAGGCATATGTTGGAGTCCAGGTCTAAGCTCACTGCTCTAGGCCTCATCCCTGTGATTGTATTCCTCTGCTGCTGTTCTCTCCAAATTCTCTTTCTTTCCCTTTAGCAACAACTTTGGTATTTCATGGAGAAAATACACACCAGAAGGAGGGAACTTGCTTGTTCACACCCATGCTCAATTCTGTACTTTTCTTGATCCTTTAAAACTCTATAGTGAGAAGACCACAGGACTCAGGGCCAGATACTTGATCTTGGACGAGCTACTTCATTTCACTTTGGTCTCCTGTTTTTCATTTGCAAAATGCGAACAGTAATGCATACCTTCCTAAGCAAGTTCTGTAGTGTTTTAGATGGTAAGGTGTTTGTGTGCATTGCATGTCAAGAGCATGTCATGTACAGTAAGCAACATCATTGTCACCTGCATCCTCTTCCTTCCTTGTGACAGGTGTGGGGGTGGGGTGGAGAAAAACTTATCCCAGAAAGTTCTATATTTGCTTCAGAAATGTTGATTTGTAATTATTTGCCTAAATATATGTTGCACAGATCAATTACAAACTCTTCAGGTATGGGTCCTGGCATTTGCTTGGTACCTAATAATTGCTGGAAGAATATTGCCAAGTTATAAAACATGCTGGTTCTCCTGTCCCACTTTCTGACTTCCTTGAAATTTGGTAGGGGTGTATTTTCTCAGAAAATGGAAATCTCCTAGAGGATAATAATTTAATTTCATTTTTATCCATAGGCCTTTAAGTGGAGCAGTTGCTAGTGATTTTCGAATAAGCTGAATAAAACTTCTGCCTTGTTCTTTTCACTTGTGGTCATTGCCTCTTTATTTCTGCCTGAAGATTGCAATTGTTGGACTGTCATAAGTTGCTCAAAATAAAATAAAAGTCACTCATTTTTTCTTTTGCTTAACAAACCTCTATTTTGTTTTTATTTTCTCTTCAGAAAAGAAAGATGTGACTCAAAGCCTAGAGAACTATACATCCAAATGTCCTGGGACCATGGAGCTCATCACCCTCCCAGGTGGCCTCATCCTGCCTCCAGTACCCTTCACCAAGCTTCCCATCGTCAGGTGAGACAGGCCCTGCTGAATAGGAAAAGCATGCACCATTCCAGACTGCTTCCTCTGGTCTGATTATGAATAGAGGTCTTTAGAAGAGCTTCCGTTTGTCATTGGCTGTGTATCTGGTTCATTATCTCGTTAAACTTGACAGCAGTCCTATGAAGTGTAAGTATTTTAGAGATGAGAGAATCAAAACCAGTGACATTTATAACTGCTGCGTCACATGCCTATTAAATGGCAGAGCCACTTCCAAAGCCTGTGTTGTGACCACTATGCCATGATGGACACCGGCCTGATCATATCATGGTCTCCTTGTAAGCTTCCAGCACCCAGGAATGGGGCAGCTGCTCATACACATGCGCACTTCCTGGCTTCATGCCTTTGCTCACTCTCTGCCTCACCCAGCCTTCATTTTCCTCTCCCCTACTCTATTTTGTTTCGTGCTTGCTCATTCCTCCAGGCTCACGCCAAGCCCAACTTCTAGGAAGCCTTTCCTGATACTCCCTTGTTGAGGTGTGAGCCCCTGGGTTTCCATGGCACCCACTGCTGCCTCTCTTGCAGTCCTTGCCACTGTGCGCAGTCCTGGAGTTACCTTTCTGTGTGACTGTCTCTCCTAACAGACTAAGATTTTAGAGCATGGAAGCCCTTTGGCATATGTAAACTGGGTACCTAAAAAAGATTTATGACCTAATCTCATGAAAGGATTTCTGAATTTCTGAAAGATTTGTTTAAAGACGGAAATGAAACAGTTGCAATTTGATGTTTTGCTGTTGAGTAGAAGTGCTGCAATGTTAGGATTTGGTGAATGAAGATGCCAAGCATCTTCAGAACACTCTTGACTTGGCCATCATTTCCCAGGGTCCACTCGTTCCTGCAGTGCAGTAGGCTTCGACTCACAGGCCTACTGCATTACGTGAATGAGTCACTTGATTCTTGAAACACTGTCCTGGGTGTCAGATCATTTGTCTCACCTTCCTCCCTGCTCACCACTCCCGCAAAATTAAGAGTGAAAGCCCATAGCATTAAGTTATGAGAATTCAGTGAAGTAACATGCAAAAACTTGTGTGGTATGGTGCTTAGTAAATGTTAGTTTTCTTTCCTCCGACATTGCTTTGAAGGCATATATAGTACTGCTAAATGAAGTTATCTTTTTTTGCCAAAGTGAGAATTGTATGCTCCTGAGAAGTGGGGACAGAAAGGGTCACTGTGCACTGAAGTCCCCAGCAGGCCATGCTTGAATTTTAAGAAAGTGTTCTGCAGGGCACTGATGAGGTCATTCATCAGATGGGAGTTGCAGGGTGCAGCAGTCACAAGGCCAGGCTGAGACCTGAGAAGTTGCTCTGGCTGCTACTTGGAATGTCTCAGAAGGGACTTGCAGCACTTCAGGGGAAGGGGCCTCCAGGAAAGGGTGTGGTTAGTCTGCTGTGCAGGTTGCTTCCTCATCACTGATGCAAACTGGAGAAGAAAGAGTCCTTTTCTGGCTTTTCTATGAGTAAGACTTAAAGAGGAATGTATTTGATTTGGGATTAAGGGAATGATTCACTTAAAAAAAAATAAAAACTGGAAAAGCTTTTCTTAATAATTTTATATTTGCATCATGACTTGGACCATTCTTAAATTTAGAAAACCTTGCATAATGGAACATCATGAACCTTACAGAACATTCTGGGCTTTAGATGCTGTATCTAGAACTCCAAGTACTCAGCTTCTTGTCAGGATTGGGCTTGGGGAGGATTGGTCCTTCAGGTCATTGGAACCAAGGAAGAAAAGGGCTTGTTCTTCTCACAGAGACAAGAAAGAGAACTGGATGGGTCATGGGAAGCAGCCCTGGAATTGAAGTGAGAATTCTTGGGTTTGTTCTTCACTAGTGTGTGACCTTGGGTAGGATGTAGCCTCTTTAAGCTTTGCTTTCCTCATCTTTTGTTTTGAGTCAGAGTCTCACTCGGTCGCCCAGGCTGGAGTGCGGTGGCACACTCATGGCCACCGCAACCTCGACCAACCTCGACCTGCTGGACTCAGGTGATCCTTCCGCCTCAGCCTTCCAAGTAGCTGGAACTGCAGGCATGCACCACTAAGCCCAGCTAATTTTTTGATTTATTGTAGAGATGAGGTTTTGTCAAGTTGTCCAGGCTGGTCTCAAATCTGTAGGCTGAGACAATTTTCTCACCTTGGCCTCCCAAAGTGCTGGGATTATAGGCGTGAGCCATCATGCCTGGCCCATTTTCCTCATCTTTAAACTGGGCTTAAAAATTACCTGCTCCAGTAGTGGGAATCTTCCGGGGGAGGAGGGAGGCACACCTCATCAACAAGGGTACCTGCATAAGGAACATTTGTATACCTAACCCTGAATTGTACTCTACATCTTTAAAATAAAAAATGAGTTAAAAAAACCCACCTCCCCTCACCAAAAAAATTGCCCTCTCGAGGGGTTGTTTGATTTTGTTTTAGCTAAACTGATGCACACAAAAGCACTGTGAATGGTGCATAGCATCTAGTAAGCACTTGGAAAACCTTAGTTTTCCTCTTGAAGATGTTTTTATACCCATATTTTCAAACAGTACATTTTAATCCCCTGACTGTTTAAAAACATTATTTTAAACATTGGGTAAAAGTATACTCATCTAACACTTAGACAAGCACTGTTTTGTAGATCTTACGTGCACATTCTTTTTTTGGGCAGTGTATCTGCTCACCACCAGGGTCTTTGTGGCCCATACTGCAGGGCTCCTCAGTGAGTCCCTGCTGAGTCTTGCCTGGCATCCTGGTGCCATTGCTCTTGCTTGGTGTGGTCATGGACTATTTTTAAAAATCTGAATTTATTTACTATCCACCATCTGTGTAAACATGATTGTTTATGGTTTTCTAGAGACTTTTAGCTGGAGAAATAACCCTATTTGTCCTGGTGACTCATGTGTTACATTGTTCAGACCTGGTCTTGTTAAAACCTGAAAAGAACTACTGCATGAGATTAAGAGCAGGAAACTCACGGGAACATTAGCACCATTGGCAAAATGAAAGGGAATTGCTTTGGAAAGCCAGAGCCTGCTTCCCATTGCTTTTAGAACAAAATCCAATTTCCTTGCTTTGCATGTCTTACAAGGCCCTGTGTGACCTGCTCTGTCTCCAGACTTGGATTGTGAGCCCCCTGTTCCCCTGGTCCTACTGTCCTCCTTTCCCTTGTAAAAATACTTAGAGTAGGCAAAATGTGTGGCGGGCTTTATTCCTTTGTTCAGGCTTTATATTCTACTTGAAATGCCTTTACTTCCCTACTCTGCCTGACGATACTTAGTCACCTTTCAAGATTTTGTTCAAGGATTATATCCTCTATAAAACCTTTTCCAAAGCCACCCAGTTAGAAATGACTCTGCTTTCTGTATAAGTTAGGAATTATCTCAGCTATAAAGAGTGGAAAACCTAATAGTGGATAGCTGATAGGAAAGGTTTTTCTTCTGTTTTTGTTTTTTTAAATTTATTAAGAAGCTGGAAACAAGTATCCTCTCTGTAATTCTGTCTTTCATAATTACCAGATTACCATCTGCAGCTCCAGATAACATACTTGCATACAAGCAGAAAGAGGGGAGAAAGGGAGGTCTAGAGATGTCTGTCTTTTGTTTAATAGAAAAGAAAAAATGTTCTTGACAAAGTCATAGTAGACTTTTGTCCCATCTCAGTGACTAAAAATGTGTCTTGTGGCCACCTCTAGTTGCAAGAGAGACTGAGAAGACAAGTATTTAGCTTTTCTAGAATATGTAATTTAGGTGGGTAGTGGAGAAGGGAGTCAGAAATTGGTGCTTGGTTAGCCAGCCAAAAGTATCTACCGTATCTCTCTTCCAGAGCACTTAGAGAATTTGACTGTACACCTTGTTGACATTTTGAGTCCTTCGTGTGACTTAGAGATCTCTGAAGAGCTGTTTGTGTTCCTAGCCCCCTAGTATTGAGTGGGTAAATAGATGTATCCATTAGAATACTTTGGATAGCAGTTGATAGAAAACCTGACCCAGACTAACTTAGGAAAGAAAGAATTTATGGCACATATACCTGAAAGGTCCAGGGGAGAATTAAGGTAGGTTTGGAATCAAGGTTCAAGCAACCTTGTCAGAACTTGATTTCTTCCTTCTCTGAGCTCTGTCCCCTGCAGTATTGGCTTTAGTTTCAGGTCCCAGGTGGTATGAGAGTGGCAGCTGCAGCTCCAGGCCTCACATCATTGTCCTACAGTGTCAGGAAAAGAGAGAAGGTACTTTAGGGTGACACCTGTGAAGGAAAGCTTTCTTTCAGGAGAAAGAATGTCCCCTTGCTTTTCACTGCCTCTCATGGGGTTATGGACTCAGATCTGAGTCAGTGCTCTCAAACCACATGTCTGCAAGGAAGGAATCTGTAGTTCTCCTAAAGCAAAACCTAGGAATTATTGGGCACAGGAAGAGGGGGAAGTGGATGGTAGGAGGCAACCGACAAGGGCCACTGCAGTGAATGACATCCATCCACATTCAATTCACCCCACTTCAGTGCCCCAGAAAAAATGTCCAGTTTTGTTTCTGTGTGTGTGAACTGTAATGCTTATGAGTCAAGATAATGCATTGACGAACAGCTGTCGTTCTCAAGTCAGAAAGCCTTACCTTGGAAAAGCACTACCTTGAAGTGAGTACATACTGTCTTTTATGAACAACGTTTTGTCTTTCTTGGACTTGTGACACTTTCTGACTCAGAGGCTGGTTATATGCTTCTGTTCTTACTAATAAATAGGTCTGTGTTTTATATGAGATTAATTTTCATATACAGATAAAAGTTTCCAGTTTTAATGTGCTTGCCAGATTTGATTTTTGTGCCTCTCTCTTAAGTGTTTGCCATTTGAAAGCACAAAAAATTAGGCCAAAGTGATGTCTTTGCTCTATAATTCTTCAACCTCTAGCATTTTTTTTTCTCCAAAGATATGCCATGGATAATGCTTCTAGAACAGACTACATGCCATTTCTGGCTCTAAAAATCTGTCATGATTATGTGTGTGGGATAAT